ACCCCATTTGTTTTTTCACTTCAAAATAAGATATGTGCAGTGTGCATAGGAATTTGTTCATAGTTTGTTTGTTTTTTAACTATAGTCCAGCCCTCGTGAACTGGCCCCGTTTAAAAGTCTGAGGAGCCCTGGCATATACAAACCGCACTTAACAATCAGACATTTGTAATAAACTCGGTTCAGGTTTGCTGGTACATTTTATCATTAGTTATGTGTCCTACATATAAAGCTGAAGCATACTAATTTGCTGATACTATCATGCTCAGATGTTCAATATTAAGATCTATTGTACAAAACACTGTTTAGCGGGCTATGCTAACTAAAAAACAACAACAGGTATTTCACTTTTATCAGAAGTGACATACAACAGAGTACTTGTAATGGAACCACATTCTAAATCGGGAAATACCTGTATGAGAATTTCTTAAGCACAGATACAATCAAGCCTCTTTACTTACTTTTTAAAAATCAGCTCCAGTGATTCTTATCTACCTTACATTAAAAGTCCAAACACTGCAGACTACTTTAAAATCCCTTCTCAAACTAGCCCCAAACCTTCTCTGTTCTCAGAGTTACTAATCTAGGGGGGGAAAAAATTGATGCAAGTAAGTTTGCGAACCACCGTTTAGAGTCATTTCTCAAACTTTAATAGAATCACTTGAAAACACTTTCTAAAGGTCTAGAGGGAAGGTCCCAAGCCTGCAGCATTTCTAAGCCACAAGGCCTTCATTGAACCATACTTTGAGTGTCAACAGTTTGAAAGAGAGGGCAAGAGAAGCATAAAAAGCAATGGGTTCAAAAGCCATCTCAACAAGTTACTAGGTGTGTGCCTTTGAAGTTACTATTCACCATTCACTACTCTATGACTTAGCTTTTTCTCTGTAAGTAAGGGTTATGATCGGCAGGCTGGTAGTACATCGCATTTTCATAAGATTCAAATTACGTTAAGCGAAAAGCATCTAACTTAACTCTAAGTAAGTTATTAGCACGGTCAAGAAATCTTATGGTCTTTGAAACATTTCTTCCTCCCTCCTCCTTGCTGCCAACTGCAAGGAGGAGCCAGCAACAGAAATAAAAATAAAAAGTATTGCTGCAGGGAGGCAATGTCCACCTGCCCTGTGGGTTTGAGATGGGGCTCACTGCCATTGGGTGACCTTATAGGACAAGGTAGACTGCCCCTGTAGGTTTCTGAGGCCGTAACACTTTACAGCTGTAGAAAGCCCCATTTTTTTCTCCAGAGGAGTGGCTGATGGTTTCAAACTGCT